AGTGAGTAATAAAATATGTTACGCTTAAAATGTTACTAAAATGTAAGCTAAAGAGACCTTAAACATTTTATGATAAGAAAATAAGTTAATAGCTGAAAATGTTATAAATATTCATAATAAATACGGTTTCGCCCAAGAATGTTATCGGCCACTAAGAAAATAGGTTGAAATCTGGAATGTTAATATTTTATAAAAAAAATTTGGTTGAGCCTAAAAGATTACTTTAGCTTTGAACAAAATATGTTAAAAAGCTAAAAATGTTATGAATATCTACAATAAATCTGATTGCGTTCAAGAATGTTATAGGTAAAGAAGTATCGATATCTATTTAGAGTGAATCGAGACAAAAATATTAAATAAGCATTTCAAAATTTTAAATATCAATACTTAATGTATGATGATCGATACTTTTAAATATTGAAAAAGTTGAAGATAAGATCTAAAGTTAAAATATTGATACTTATGTGACAATGATCGATAATTTTAAATACTAAATTGATTGTAAAAAGATCAAAATTTAAAATATCAATACTTATGCGACGATGATCAGTACTTTTATATATTGAAAAAGTTGATGAAGATGTTCGATAGTTAAAATATTGATACATATATTATGATGTTCAATATTTTTCATTTATATCAATACTTATGCTTTGATATTTGTGGAAAAGTTTAATACTTTACAACATTCTCATTTTCCATGTTTTTTCAATTTTAAAACTATTAGATACTTTTCCATAAATATTGATACTTTCGAATTTAAAAAAAACTTGAAAAATGAGAATGTTGCAAAATATCGATACTTTTCCGTAAATATCAATACTTTCGAATTTAAAAAAATGAAAAATGAGACTAATATAAGGTTAAAAATGTTATTAGTTGAAAAAACATTCTCATTAATTTTTTCAATATATAAAAGTATCGATCATCATCGCATAAGAATTGATATTTTAAATTTCAATCTTTTTATCAATTTTTTCAATATTTAAAAGTATCAATCATTACCGCATAAGTATTGATATTTTAACTATCAATCATCTTCATTAATTTTTTCAATATACAAAAGTATCATCACATAAGTATCGATATTTTAAATTTTGATTTTTTTTATCAACTTTATCAATATTTAAAAGTATCGATAATTATCGCATAAGTATCAATATTTTAACTATCAATCACCTTCAGCAATTTTTTCAATATAAAACTATCGATCATCATCACATAAATATCGATATTTTAAATTTTGATCTTTTTGTTAATCTTTTCAACATTTAAAGTATTGATAATCATATATTAAATATCGATATTTAAAATTTCGAACTACTTTCTTAATTTTTTTTTGTCTTTATTCACTCTGAATAAATATCGATACTTCTTCACTAATAAAATTCTTTGGTGGAACCGGATTTATTATAGATATTCATAATATTTTTAGCTTTTAACACATTTTGTTCAAAGCTAAAGTAGCATTTAGGCGCAACTGATTATATTACAAAAAAAATCAACATTTCAGATCGCAACCTACATTATTAATGAATCATAGCATTCTTGGGAGCGACCGAATTTCTTATAGATATTCATAAGTTTCCAGTTTTTAACTTATTTTATTATCGTAGGAATGTCTAAGACTCCATCAGTTTAAACTCTGATAACATTCTAGGTGCAATCGATTTTATTACAAAGAAAATTAACATTCCAGACTACAACATGCTTCTTGCGAGACATAACACATTTTAGGCGCAACTAATTTTATTACAAAGAAAATTAACATTTACCATTTATAACTTGTTTTGTTATCGTGAGAATGTCTAAGGCCTCATCAGCTTGAACTCTGCTAACATTTAAATGTAACCTAAAATGTTAATAATATTCATAACATTTACCGTTTATAACTTATTTTATTACTTTTTATAACATTTAGGTGCAACATATTACTATAATTGATAACATTTTAAGTTCCAAATTATAACATTTTGTGTTATGCTTTTAACCTATCATCTGTCACGCCGTTTATTAACAAACTTCTCACGGCAGAATTCCCCTAGTCTAGTGGCTAAGCCTTTGAAAATATCCAATAGTACCAAGTGGGATCAAATTCCATCCGTCTCACAAATTATATTTTAATAAGATGATAATATGTATCATTATTTTATTAATTAAATAAAGTTAATTTAAAAATATAATTTACTTATGTGAAAATTAAAAAATAATAAAAATATCATATCAATATTATTGTTAATTTTTAATTATAAATGATCAAAACATAAATTAATAGACAATTAAATAAGAAGTTTACTCTTTAAAATATTAATAATTATTAAAAATAAAATCTAAATCAAATTAAATATAAAAAATTAAAAAAGTAATCAAACCAATCTCATCCAAACATTTATGGGCTTTAATTGGTGGTCCAGGTCCAGCTTTAAATATATTATTTAAACGTGGAATTGAGGTGGATACGCCGAGTTTGGAAGAAATTTAATATTGCAATGATTTAATATATTTCTTTTGGTAGAAATGATTTAATATATTTAACATATAATGAAAATATTTTTTAAAAGCTTTAGGTGATTATTGATTACAATATAATACTTATTCAAAATATTTATTTATTTTCTCTAAAGTGATGGGTTTGAGTAATTATTTGCAGGGTGTATGTGTGTTATTAATAATTAAATTATCTTTGAATATATATTACCATATTGTATTCACCTCAAATTATTATTATTCTTATATATAATTAAAAACATTAACACATAATTAATGAAATTTAGTATTAAAAACTATAGATTTTATAACAAGAAGTCAAATCAAGCAATTTGGAAGAAAAACATCAAGTAATCTTACAAAATATAATTTGGAATAAATTATAGTGTATAGATAAGACCTTTAGATAAAATATTTAAGTAGTCTATCAATACAAAATCTAAAGATCTCAGATTTATTTAATTTGTCAACCTATAAAATTATAAAATATTATAAAAATATAATATTAAATAGATTTAATGTTACTGTCAACATTACAAGATTATACAAAATTATAAGTTATTCTAGCTTACATGTTTAATATATGTATTGAACACGAACTAAAAGACCCAAATTAAAATTAGATTTGACTTTATTTTAATTTTGCATTCTTTTACTTTAGAAACGTTTCTAAAAATGCAGATAATCTTACATAAATGGGGGCTCTCCCAAAACAATTATTTTTTGGTTTCTTTAGCTCTCACTATTTTTTTTACTAAATGATATATATATGTATATAATCTTTTAATTTTACACTTTTTTAGACCATTAGATTGAAGGAGATCAAATGTTAACATTAACTCGTTTTTTTTCTAGTAAATATCTTCTCATTTTATACTATTAATCTTAGCCTTTGATTTTCCCTCATCTAATGATTTTAAAAAGGTGTAAAACTTATCAACTTTGTTAGATATATGAACTGCAAAACTACACCGTTAGCATTGACTGGAAATATAAACAGTAATTAAAATGAACAAATTCGTAAACCGTGTCGTGGTAAAAACCACTGCCTTAGAAATAAATTCGCCCCGATGTGTGTAATCGCTGCAGTAGGCGGATCGTCCCCCGAGGTTAACACGGTCGCTCCGAATTCCATACACCCGAAACCAGAGTGGACTGTTGGTGGTATTGCTCTTCTGATTGGAAAGCACTCAGAGAGAACTCACAGAGAGAATTGTAGAAAACACTTTTGTAAGTGAATTGTGAATGTTTGAGAGTGAGTTGAGAAGCTGAATATAGCCCTCTATTTATAGGCTAGAAATAGAGTTAAAATCGTCCATAAAATTTCAGGATTAAATCTCTTCTTTTGTAACAGCTGAAACGTCTAGATGAACCTGACTAAAAAATAGTCCATGTTCATTGCATCATTGTTCAGCTGTTATAACTCCCGAAATTATATCATGTAACCCATGGAATTAAATCAAATAACTCCTGATATTAACAGCTTGTCTCCTCTGTACAAAGCTTGAAATCAGTCCAGATACATCTTAACGTTTTTGATTTAATTTAGGAAAATCTGTTTAATTTCTCACAAACCAGCTGTTATCATTTGAAATTAAACAGTCCTCAGCAGCCTATAAATATCAGTTGAAATCTTTCACATTTTTCCATTTGTTTCTTTCAAAGAGAAATTCTTCAAGAATTTTCTCTAAAAAGATAGTATCAGCGCGGACGTGTCGAAGACACGTACGACCACGACCACGACCACGACCCGACCCGACCCGAGCCGAGCCGAGCCGAGATGGACGGACGACGGCGGTGCGCTAGAGTCCCCCTTGTTCTCTATCACTCAACAAGGAAGTAGGAAAGCCAAACCTTAAATACTATTTCCAATAGTGTTTCCAATACTATGTGGGATTGAGCATTACCAACAAACTTTACGTAATGTAAGCGGATCGTGCACCTATATATATATATTGAATAGTTTGAGGTGCTTATAAGATAATATTTGTTAATATTTTTTATTAACTTATTGAATATGTATACATATTCTGAAAACATAGTTACTCAAACTTAGATCATTTAAAAGGAATACAATTTTTTTCACTATTGAATTCATTCAATGAATTCGCATATATTATTTTTTATATATTTGAAATATCAATGAGAAAATATTAGCAAATATCATCCAAATACTTCTCTAAGATGGACAATCTTTTCGGCTATTATTAATCATAGCGGTCTACTTTCAAAAAAAAGAAAAGAAAAGAATATTGCAGACTGCCTACGCAAACCATATAAAAAAATTTAAGGGAATGAATTCAAAGTTGATCTTCCTCATAAATCCAAAATTAAACCCACTTCAACAATCCTTCCTACAATGAAAACAATAAATATTAATTGAACAATATTTAATTAAATTAATAATATTAATTAAGCTAGATGATGACTTTGTAGATCCCTTACTAGCACAAGAGACTAAGCCTTCGCTTGAATAGCTTGGGAGGACCCTGATCTGGTGGGTGCATGAATTTTCAGTTAGGGCAAGCAGGTGACGACTTTATTAGCATCACCAACATATAGCACCGGCTGCACACGATTGCCACCATCTCTTTCCGCTCCTCCTCGTTCTCTTCCGTCACCAACCACGAGAGATTCCTCATTGAACAGTTAATCTGCTCGTCAACGGAATCGACCCTCGTGATGAATCGGTGATCGGATGCATTAACTTTCCTTAATAAATCACATGGATGGTTTAACTCAAGGTCTAGGCTTATGTGACCGGTACTTGTAGGTTCTGGACTTCTGCTTTGGACCTTACAAGTTCTTGTACGAGTCATTGTATTGTAGAAGTGTATTAGCTCTGACTGAACATAGATAAACCCAAAAACAAGTCATATTTACTTGTAGAAACATACATGTACATACATACACACACAAAAAACCTGAAGATCAAGGCATCTCTGCCACTCCGAAGGTAATCGAGTCTCGAGTTGTAGCTCCATATCGAACACCGATTTCAATCTCTTCATGAAACTCCCTTCATCACCACCCAATGACTCTTCCAACTTCCTCTTCTTCGATAAATTCTCAAGCTCCGACGTCATGTACCACTAAGCTAACTAAATTTCTTCTAATCAGAGTGACCAATTGGTGAAATGTTTGTGGTTTATATAGGCAGAAGTTCTGATATTTTTTCGAACAAATTCATATCGAATACTTATTCGTATCTGGTGCTTTCAAACCTAAGAGTGAGTTGTAACCAACTTCCTTTGTGGTCATTAAACCTAAACTCAACTATGCTTACATGCCATCACTGTTGAAAGGTGAAAGTCTTGAATGCAAATGAATCTTTAATAACATAAATAGCACCACCTTCCACAAGAACAACTAAAACTTCTTAAGCTTTCAATGCCGACATCTCCTATGCAATTAAACTTAACCCCTATTTCATAGCTTTTATGTATAGTTTAATTGATGTTGCTAGGGTCAGTATTTGATCAGATCGAGTCGAATCGAGTAAATTTGTTTTGAGTTAATCGAGTGGATGAATTCTATTTTATAATTCAAACTTTATTTGAAATTTTTTCGAGTCGAGTTGTTCGAGTTTTTGTTTAAATTTAGTTGAAAATATTCATAATGTTATGATACTATTTGATTCCAATTTAAACGATTTTCTATATATATATTTCTTCATATTTTTTCATATGTGATATACATATATCATGCAGAGTTGAGAGATTCAACTCCAAAAATTTTGAGTTATTAGGGTTCTATGTTATAATTGGCTCGATTTTTAATTTTTTTTTAGTCGAGACGAGTTTATGAAATTACAAATTAAGTCAATCGAGTCAAGATTTTTAATATCAGGCCGAGAAAAAAATTTAGAATTTTTTCTTGTTGAATTTTGCTAACCCTGGCTGTTGCCCATTAAACAAAATATATTGAAAAGTTAAAGGTTAACTTTATGTACTTAGCTGCAAGCAAATATAAATTGGAGAGGTGCCGTAAATAGAGACTAGACATCAGATAGATATTAATGCCAACCAATTTGGTTAGCTGCATTCACTATAGCAGCCAACATTTAGGGTCATTGTTTTCCAAATTAGCAACTAAAAATAACACCACAACACACACCAACAACACCCATGGAATTAACCTCTCCCCTCCAACATGGGATATTGAAGTAATAATTAAGGCACAAAAATTATTATAGAAAAGAGAGGAAGGGTTTTTAGTAAAGTCTACCTGCTATCATTAATTCCCTATCTTAATGACCATTGGGAACACCACTTTCGATTTAAATACTATCAACTCAACTCCCCTTTATTTCTGGGCGATTTTCCCGATATATCACCGGTGATCGGTAATATTATTGATCTAACACCAGTCAGATTATATTTCCCGATCTAATACCCTTAGCAGTAAAGCGCGCTCCCTGCACCGCGCTATACGGTGAGCTGGCGTCACGTGGGTATAGCACGACCCCTGCAGCGCGCTATACATGTATATCTGACACGTGGGGTATAGCGCGGTGCAGGGGGCGCGCTATACCCCTAACTACCGACCCCTCCTCCCTATAAATACCCACATTCTCAATCAATTTTATCACATCAAATTCTCTCAAATTCTCTCAAATTCTCTCTTTTTAAGGTATATTTTATAATATTTTTACTATTATATTTTTACTTTATTTAATATTTTACTAATATAATTCTTTTGCAGATATATAATGGAACGCAGTCTATTTCGCTCGGATGGAAATCATATATCTCTACACTTTGCTGATACGGTAACATTTTAACGTTTTAATTTAATTTAAATTATTAATAATATTTAGTTATTTATTTAATGCATGATTATTATATTAATAATTAAATATCTCGACACTTTGCTGATACGGTAACATTTTAATGTTTTAATTTAATTTAAATTATTATTAATAATTAGTTGATTCATTTAATGCATGATTATTAGATTAAGAATTAATTTTTGTAATTATTTATTTTTAGGAGAAGGACCGTGTATTAGATCCTTTTATTAGGAATCTTAAGTTAGTGATACCCAATCATGTCTTGCCGTATTTAGTAGAGGCTGGATTCGGTTACATAGGTAGATATCAGGGTCACTGTAAGATAGAGCCATACCTGATTTCTGCCTTAGTAGAGCGGTGGAGGCCGGAGACCCACACATTCCATCTTCCGTGCGGAGAGTGCACGATCACGCTTGAGGATGTTTCTATGCACCTGGGGCTTCCGGTGGATGGAGATGTGATATCGGGGATAGCTTCCGGTTCTTGGACTGGTTTGTGTCGGGATAGTCTAGGACGTGTCCCGGAAAATTTTATCGGAGGTAGGATACCGTTAAATTGGTTAGATGCCAATTTTTGGGAGTTGAGCGCAGACGCCTCTGAGGATGAGGTTAAGATGTATGCACGAGCATGCATACTGCAGCTGATAGGAGGGTTGCTGATGTCGGACAAATCGTGCAACCTAGTTCACTGCATGTGGTTGCGACATCTTAGCGACTTTCGTCTCGCCGGATCATTCAGTTGGGGCTCAGTAGTTTTGGCTTTGCTGTATAGGGAGATGTGTGAAGCCACTGACTACAGGCGTAATGATATCAGCGGATGTCTCCTGCTGCTGCAGTCTTGGGCATGGTATCGATTGCCCTTTTTATGTCCCGTTGTGAAGAACCCATTCGTATTTCCACTACTTCTGAGGTAATTATAAAACTGATTTTGTCTATTAATAATTTTATATAGCGTATAACAAATTTTTTCCTTGAATAGGTGGTCTACTGATAGGAAAAATCATCAGGAGCTACCTGATGATTTAGAAAAGATTAGGGTGCTAATCGATCAGAAGGCTGGCACACATGTATGAATTTTAATGTTTAAAAATCAATTTTAGATTATAGTTATATAATTAGATTATTATTTTGATAAAAATTATATATTATTTGTTTTAGTTTGAATGGGTGCCATATTTACTGATGATGTGAGGGCGGTGATCCCACCTGAGTTGAGGGGTCCATTAGATGTTTGGATGGCGATGGTCCCTCTGATCTGTTATGCGACCGTCGAGTGGCACTCCACTGATCGCGTGCTCCGACAGTTTGGTTGTTTTCAACCAATTCCGGAAGCACCTCGCAATATGGATGAGTTGCATAGCTTAGACAGACGCGGCAAGACAGATACAGATTGGCTGGTGAGGCATCATGAGTGGGTCGTGTTGTGGGAGGATCGACATCGGCACCTTCCACGTAGAGAGCCCATTTTTACTGACTTCTTGATGTATGCTGAGGATTATTATGAGTGGTTCAACAGTAACGGGAAACCGTTTCTACGTCCTGAGGATGCACGAGGGCAGACCTTTCCACGACGTCGACAGAGACGTTCACGGACACAGCACCATCGTCCCCCGACTCGTGGACGGAGAGCAGGTGCTTCCCGTTCATCCTCAGCTGCACCAGCAGGACCTTCCCAGCAGCCACCGCAGCCATATATGATGACGTCGCAGGCATCGATATATATTTTTTATTATATTTGAATTTACTTTATTTTGTTAAATTGTAATTTTTTATTATTTCTCATTTAATACTTACTTTATTTTGTTTTTTAATGTATTTCAGTTCGTTTTTTATTACCATTTAATATCAGTTATTGTAATTTGGTTATCATTTACCATTTAATACTTATTGTCATTAGTTTGTTAAAATTTAATGATTGTGTTTGTTTTTTTAATAATCATCGGTGATTATCAAATGACATTAACTTGAAGTAAATGCAAATTAAAGTAGAAGAATTATTATTTGATAATAAAATACATTATTTCCTCATCAATTGTTACTTGATGACAACAGAAGTGGACATGTTTTTCTAGTGTGTCATGGGTTTCTACAATGCCCACATATTCTGTCTTGTCTAGATCTTTCTCTAATATCCATATCGCAATGAATTTGATTGGATTTTGGACGACCACGCTCCCTCAATAAACTCGGATTTGGTACAATCGGAAGCCAATCTTGAACCTCATCAGGTCTTTGTCATTACCTATGGGGGGAAACTCAAATTCGTATACCTTAAAAACTTCAGATAGTAGGTATACGGGATCCACAAAATGGTTATAGTCTTGACGTGTATGCGAGCAAGCTGCTATCACATGAGAGCTTGGATACTTCAGAGCTTGAAAAAACCTGCAGTCGCACGTTCTGTCCCTTAGATTTAGTCTTAACGACACAGCTTCAATCCCTTGAAGAGGTCGCGGTAACTCTGTGACACGAAACATTTCATGCCTTCTAGAGAAGCTTGTTACAGACATTCCATTTGATGCATCAATTTTTTTCTGTAGATCTGCAACTAATCTAGGGTGATAGACATGACCGCCTTGCATCCAGGTTTTAGCTTGTCCCCCGAGTTTCGCAAAAAGTGCCCCCAAACAAAAATATATAGTCTTTACCAAAGCCGCTACAGGTAAGTGACGTGCACCCTTTAAGGTTGAATTGATTGCCTCTGCCAAGTTGGTCGTCATGTGTCCATATCGATATCCACCATCATATGTGTTCGTCCACATTTCTTTATCGATGAGGCTGATGTAATCATATCCTTTCTCGTTCTTTGCCCGCAACTCTTGAAACATTGATTCAAACGTTCGAGGAAGTAGTTTGTAACCTGATCAAAAAAATATATAACTTACTAACTTGTTGTCTTTGCAAAAATTAAAACGATCGAAAGATAACAAACTTGCTAAGTTTCACTTACCCATGCGCACAATTAATTGACGCTCATCATTCTTCTTGTACCTTCCATGGTAGTTCGCGGCAATGTGTCGAAGACAATACCTATGTTGGACAAAGGGTGGTTGCCACATTGGACCCAAAGACTCCATTGCTGCTTTGATCCCATCTCCGCGATCTGAAATGACACAGATGTTTTCCCTCGTGATAACATGTGCACGTAAATTTTGGAGGAAAAAAGCCCAATAAGCTGTATCTTCTCCTTCGACAAGAGCAAAAGCAACCGGAAGAATGTTGCGATTTCCATCTTGGACAAATGCCAATAATAAAACTTGCTTGTATTTTCCAAACAAGAAAGTCCCGTCGATCT